GACAATGGTTAACAACCTCACAACACATCAACACTATCCTTACTCAACCTTGGGTTCCCTATCACCAGCTTCCTTGTCCCCTTCTGCCTTTAAGAATTAATAGTTTTTATAAAACTGTTGCTTATATTTTATTTCATTTTAAGGTATATATATCATGGATTTCTTAGAAAGGAGAGTTTGTAGTAGTAGCATAGAAATTATAGAAATTGGATTTTACTTAGCTAATTTTTTTCCCCCAAAATCTGTATTTTGTTTACATATGACTGTTTTGTTCATCTCTGCACCCTGTTGGTGAGGGAAGGAGTCCTACCTAAGGGTTCTGGTGGTGGCCAAACACATAACACCTAATACTGGACATGAGATTGACAGCAGTTTGTTATTCACATGTACTCACAGCCTGGGGGAGGAGAACACTGTGTGCAGGGCCACGTGGTGGTTGCCCTTGGTAGCAGAGTGAATAAGCAGGGTCAGTGGGGAGACAGACTTTATAGGAACAAGTGGATGAGGTGACCCCTGGTTCTCGCGGAAGGTTATGATTGGCTTGTTTCAGTAGTTTCGTGGACTGGCAGGAAAGTGAAACCTCTTAGGTTTGGGACCGAGCGGCATGCAGCTGATCCAATTGATAGAGGAACGAACCAGGTTAGAAGCCTTTCCCACTGGGTGGGAGGCGTATCTGGTGAGAACAGGGGAGCTCAACAGTTTAGACTTTGGGGCCCTGTAAGTCTCAAAGTTGTCAAGACAGTACAAAAAATTTTAGGCCCTATGATACAATGACTGACCTGAAAAATCTTATTAGGCAGTTTAACTCGTTTCAGTGATTCTTCTATTTTCTTAAATTTTAAAGGTTTTCTTCCTGGGAAGATTTTGAAGAAGAACATGGCAAAGGGAGAGAATATGGTTATGCCAGTCTCCACAAGGAGCTTGAGCCATTCCTGTTACGCAGAGTTAAGAAAGATGTGGAAAAATCTCTTCCTGCCAAGGTTGAACAGATTTTAAGAATGGAAATGAGTGCTTTACAGAAACAATATTACAAGTAAGCTATACATAGAGCACATTCTGAACGTTTAACTAAATCCCCCTCTGTCCTCGTCCTCATAACAACCCTCCCCCAGGGTCCTTAGAGCAGTAACAATTTGTTGAATTTTGGAACAAGTTTATCCTATACCAAAATGGGGCACAGAGATTTAATGGTTTACATAAGACTAAATTATCTATCTTCTAACACACCATTAATGACTTTCCTCCATACCATGCTCTGTTACCTTGTAGAGGGTTTCTTTTAAGTGTTAGGATTTCCATGAGACTAAGATATTACTATGTAGTTTTGATCATTATATGATTGATAGAGATGTAGGTAAGGGGAAAAAAGAAAGAAAAACTTCTAGGCCCCTCTGCTTTTTAAAAAATAGTAATAAATTATAACGTGTGTAACTTATGTTAGCTAAGTTTATATAGTAACATTTTTCAAAAAGTAAAAAGGAGTATCTCAATATCGATTTAAACATTTAATTACATAATATGAGATACACCGCCACATGCATTTTAATTCTGAGAACGTTATATTTTATAGTAAGCTCTGTTAAATGCCGTACATTTAAAATATATATTTATTGTGTAATTTGTAGGCCTTTATTATGGAAAATTTCAAAGATGTACAAAAATAGGATAATATAATGAACTCCCGTGTACCCATCACTCAGCTAAATTTTCCACTCATGACCAGTCTTATTTCATCTCTAGCCATTCCCATTTCCCTACCCCTTATCCTTTTGAGACAAGTTAGAGATAAAATTGTTTCATCCATAAATACAGTAATTCCTTAATATCAATGTTAATATTTTCCTCTATTGTCTCAGACATTTTTGTTTTAAGATTCCTTGAATCAAGATTGAAATAAGGTCCATATATGGCAATTGTAGGTGCCCCCATCCCTTCCCACCCCCTTAAAATTTATTTGACAAAGATAACAGAGTTGTACTGTAAAATTTTCCCACAGCATGTATTATGCAATTTGCATTCTTGTAGTGTAGTTTAACACATCCTCTGTCATTTCCTATAAATTGGTACATAGATCCAGATACTTGTTCAGATTCAGTTTTAAACCCTGTCTACCTCTTATGCCATTGATCATTGTCCTTGTTGGGTACCATTTTGGTTTCTATTCTGGTTTTAAGGAAATGCTAAATAACTTGTGTTGAAAAACAATAATGAAAGGATATGTATGCTAGATAGTTGGCCCTTTCAAGTCCCTTCCGATACTAACCTTGTATAAAGGATGAAAATAAAAGGTGGTAGAAGAGAAAACAGGTCATGGTGAGAGGAAGAGTTATATATAGTTTAAAGCCATATAATACCACCAAAAAAAAAATCGCCGAAAGTTGCATATGCATTGTGTAATTATAATTTAGAAAAGGCAGTGGCTAAACCAGATATCCTCATGAGGTTTCTTTTAGGTCTGTCCAATATTTAATTAGCTATCTATCTAATATGTGAAATTTGTACTTCTGAAATAAGAAAGTTAAGATAGATGGTACAGTTGACCATCTTTTTGGGGAGAAAAGGATTAATATACTCTAATACCGTATATGTACTGTGTTACATTAAGCTTTTTCTGTGTGTAGCTATGGTTCAGATAACAAATTGTGTTATCAGTCTGATGATGGAGCCCTGGTGGCGCAGTGATTAAGCACTTGGCTGCTGACCAAAAGGTTAGCAGTTTGAACCCCCCAGCCACTCCAGGAAAGAAAGATGTGGCAGTCTGCTTCCATAAAGATTACAGCCTTGGAAACCCTGTGGGGCATTTCTACTCTATCCTATAGGGTCGCTGAGAGTTGGAATCGACTCAGTAGTAACAAATTTGGTTTGGTTTTGGTATCAGTGTAATGAACAAGATTTGGTCTGTTGTATATCCATTGTTAATTTCATAATAATATAATTTTACTTTGATGCTAGATTTTTTTTATGGTTTTAGAATTCAGCCTTGTTTTGCTAAACATTATTTTCATGGTTTTTGTTTGTTTTGTTTTTTTAAAGATGGATTTTAACTAGAAATTACAAAGCCCTCAGTAAAGGCTCCAAGGGCAGTACCTCAGGCTTTTTGAACATTATGATGGAGCTAAAGAAATGTTGTAACCATTGCTACCTCATAAAACCACCAGATAATAATGAATTCTATAATAAACAGGAGGCCTTACAAGTAAGAATTTTTAAATATTGTTACTTTGTGGTAAAGCAGAATTCTACAAATATATATTTTAGTTATCAAATGAAAATGGCACAATGCTTTAATATATTGTTTAGAAGTTCTTTTTGGTTAATGGTGCATTAAAATAATCATCTCAGTTATTTTTTAGTAATTATAAAAAAACTTTTAAAATTGTAATTTATCAAATTAATTTGATCAGTTTTCTAAAAATCTTTCTAACCATGGACTGTAGTAATTTTCTGGTAAAAATTCCTTAGCATACTCTTAATTGTGAAAAATATGATATTGGGATTGTATATCACTGATAGTGATGATCTGGAATTTGTAGTATGGCAAATGATAGTTAAGAAGGATATCTTGACTTCAGATCTTACCCTTCTGATTAGTTCTGAAAGACAAATTAGAAATGTGAAGGCACAACTGCCATCCAGCTACAGTAGTGCAGTGAAGTGCTAGGACCAGTGATTAATACATGTAGATTAGAATACATTGTGTACTCTTTTCAAACCTTTGGTTGCTTAGCTGCTGCTGCTTCTACTGTAGCTGTGTTTCAACTAAGATTTTAGAGAAATCGTGTAATAACTAGCATATAAAGTGAAACAGTACCAATTTTTTTTCCTGAAAATACGAAAACCTAGATGTTAAATGGCTAGGAAAACTTTAAGTCATAGAACAAAATGGAAAAAGACCTAGAGAATTTTAAAAACTTAAATAAACTATTTTCAACATTATAAAAGTTTAAAACCTCAATTAAAATAGTTAAAGCAACTAACGTGTAAAATGGAGCACTTGTTTCATTTCATTGGTTCTTTTAACTTGTTACAACAGTTGTGGTTTATTGTTTCCTTAGCACTTAATCCGTAGTAGTGGAAAATTGATTCTTCTCGACAAGCTGTTAATTCGCCTAAGAGAACGAGGCAATAGAGTTCTTATTTTTTCTCAAATGGTGCGGATGTTAGATATACTTGCAGAATATTTGAAATATCGTCAATTCCCCTTTCAAGTAAGCATTTAATTTTGTCTTTGTTATTGATTTAAAATTTCAGTTAATTCCTGAGCATGTTCTACAGAATTACCTTTGAAATTATTTTGTAAATGAAGTACAGATTTTTACATAAGCCGTATTTTTCAAGAATTTATACCTGCTTAAAAAAATTCTACTTCTAGTTATTCTCATTTTCTTTCTTGACTTTTCATTTAGCAACAAAACAATTTTTCTTTTCTCCAATTTTTATTTTCTTTTACTTCTGTATTTCTCTTCTATGCTTGCTTTATATTTTTAAAACTGGACTAAAACCTGATGCACAATAAAAATTAAAAAAAACAAAACTGGGCTAAGGCAGAATTTCAGTGATAGAACAAATCTAAAAGGGCAACTTTATGTATTAGGCTTTAGTCTGAGGAAGGAAATAGAAGGGTAGAGCCCCTCACAGCCCCCACCCCGCCACCACCGCGTCCACCACCCCCAACAGAAGAGCAGTTCTTGGGAATGCTACAGAGACCACTGCAGATTGTGATGATTGGTGTGTTCATAGTTCTTCTAATGGATAATTTGTTGAATAAAACTAGATGACTTTAGGGAAGTTACCAAAGAACAAAATGGACTTAACGCTCCATTTATTTAGAATTATAATGAAGGGTCAGCACACATAATTCTTGTTCAGCTGGAGTTTAAACTTGGTGTGGGAGACAGATATTAGTCAGGTAATTGCAAATACAGATCACGTTACAACTCTCATAAGTGCTGTGAAAGATAGATGTTTAGTGATATGAACATGATAAATATGTAGTCATTTGGAGGAAAAAGAAAAAGAATGTCATTATTTGAGGTTTGTTGGTTTGCTTTTAAACAAATTGTTACATGTACATGGTCAAAAAAGTAGTTTAAGTACCAGTTTCCTTTCCCAATCCCTTCTTGTTCCACATTACTTTCCAGAGAAAATACTTTTTACTTTTTTTGGTTATCACATGCCTCAATAAATAATACGCTACTATTTTTAATTTTTTTTAACCAATTATAATTTTCGTATTTGTGAAAAAAATCTTTTTTTCTATTTCAGATGTTATCTTTTGTTTCTTTACTATGTATAATAGATGACAGTTTAGACCAATTTCCATTGACTATTTCACTTAGACCAACACCACTGAGAATTATTTAAAATATTCTTTTTCATATTTAGTTAATAATTTATGTAATAACCAAGAAAATATCAACATACAACTTCCCAAAATACTAGTTTAATATATGGATCATAGTAGGCAAGTTGTTTCTAGTCTATAACCAGTTACTAATTAAAAGATGTTATTATTTATAATTAAAATGAAAATAGTAACTAATGTTTAGTAAGCACTCAATATATGCCAGGTTCTTTACTTAGTGCTTTCTTATATTCTCTCTTTGAATCATCTGTATTCTGTAAATGAGGTACTATCATTATGTCCATTTTACGGAGGCAGGTGGAAGCTGACGTGAAGAGATGTCAAATCATTTGCCCAAGTCACCCAGTGAATAAGATACTCAAACTTAGGTTACTTGACTGGAACCTATGATGCTCTGAATCAGTGATTCTTAAACTTTGCTGTACATCAGAATCAACTGGAGGACTTTTGCTGGATTCCCCTGCAGTTTGTGGTTCAGTAGGTCTGGGTGGGGGAATTTCCAACAAGTTCTCAGGTAACACTGATGGCTGTTGGTCTAATAACCACACTTTGAAAAACAATGTACCTAATCAGTGTTTTTTAAGCTGGATTGTGACCTATTAATGTGTTTGAAAATCAGTTTAATGCGTCTTACCAGCATTTAAAAAAATGAAGTATAAAATATGAAAGTATATCACAGTACATCATAAAACTTGTATCATGTCTATAAATAAGTGTATCCTCTTAACATGTGAAACACATTTCTTACAGTGGATCTCAGGCAGAAAATTATGATAGCCAGTGCTCTAATATCCTTATATTATTCATTTCTTTCAAATATGGATGTTTTAATAAGGATTTGACTTTTTCCATTGACAGTTACCTTAGTAACCTAGTTCTGCCATAACACAAATATCACAGATGAGTGGCTTTAAAGAACAAAAGTTTATTTTTTTACAGCTCTGCAGGCTTAAAGTCCAAATCAGGGTCGTGGCCATGTCCATTCCTGCTGTGAGCTTTTTCCTAGCTCTGGTGTCTGCTGGTGATCCTTGGCGTTCCTTTGCTTATAGATGAGCCTCACATGTTGTCTGTTTTCCCCTGTGTGTGTCTGTGTCTGCATGTTTTTATAACTGAGAAGTGAATAGGTTTAGGATCCACCCCACACTGGTGTGACCTCAGGTGATTGATTCATTAGGTTACGTTAGATTGTATTATGAAAGGTGATAACATTGCATTACATGGAAAATCAATACATTATGGAAGAAGCTGCTCTATCCAAGACCAACTGATTTAATCACATGTAACTACTCCATAACAGCAGTTAGGATAGTGTTCAGCCAGACAACCAAAAGGAACCGAAAGCCTCACCAAATTGAAATAAAATAAGCCATCACAACAGAATTCACATTTCCTCTGAAGTTTTCGTTTTTGGTATTCCTACAGTAAGTCAAAATATTTGCTATTGGAAAAGTGGTCTTCAGGGTTAAGCGCATGGACTCTGGACGTGGAATGTGAGCACAGGCCCTGGCATATTTTATTTTACTGCTGAAGTATATTCTACTCATATAGTCTTCGTGAAGGGCATGCCACACTCTCATACTCATTTCATAATTGCTTTTAATTGACTCTGTTATATGCATATGTTAATGTGTTTTATTTTAGAGATTAGATGGATCAATAAAAGGGGAGCTGAGAAAACAGGCTCTAGATCATTTTAATGCTGAAGGATCAGAGGTATGAATGCTTTAAAAATGTAAATTATTTTGTTTTATTCATAATTATAGTTTGATAGAGTCTTATTTGTGCTAGCCAGTTTTAAATTGAAAATGAGGTTTTTAAATTATTATTCTATGTTAAATCCAAAGAATTCTACCCTTTATTATTTTAGCATAGAACGAAATAAATTAGCCCATTTTAATTTAGGATTCTTTTGTGTGTGTGCACCTTTTACTTTTTAAAGAAATAAAATCTACAAATATAGTTGAGGCCCCATCCCATTCATATTCCATCTCCTCTGATTTCACAGAAGTAACTGCTGTATTGAATTTAGTGTTTATTATTCCCATGCTTATTTGCATTTTGGAGTCCTTTCTTGTTTATCAGTTTAGGTAGAGATTTATATATTTTATTAGTTATATTTTTAAACTACTTTTAGTTTTATTTGTAAATTTTAAAATTCAGAAAATCAGTTGTAAAATTATTCTCATTTTTATTATTTATAATCACAGTTTAGAAGAATTTCAAATCTTGCCTGTTTGTAATTCCTTACAGGATTTCTGCTTTTTGCTTTCCACAAGAGCTGGAGGTCTAGGAATTAATTTAGCCTCTGCCGACACTGTCGTTATATTTGATTCTGATTGGAATCCACAAAATGATCTTCAGGCACAGGCTAGAGCTCATCGAATTGGGCAGAAGAAACAGGTGTTTTTCATTTCTCTTAATTTACTCTTTTAGAAGGTTTTTTATAATTGGTGTTGGGAAGTAATTTTGGTTTATCCTATGAAAAATGTTGGAACATAGTCTAATAGATGAGTACTGAGGGACTCGGTTGGCCAAAATCACCAGGGAGTCTGACAGAACTAAGATAACTATGTCTAAATAGGATTGTGGTCTCCTTTTTGAGCATATATTTAATATACTAGTGTAGAGTGTAAGGTTTTTCCTTTAGTATAAAACTTTAAAATGACTTCATTTGCTTATTTTAACTCTTGAAAGAATTTTTGATTACCGCAGTGCTAGCTTTCTGTTACCATGTGTTTTGTCCATGTGCTTACAAGACTCTGCAAAAAAAAGTCTTACTTTACAGTTTAGTTAAAACTGGGGAAAATGAAAGTTATTTATTTTAAAATAATTTGTATTTCAGTTATGTATGATTTATACTACAGTGTAAAGAATAAGTTTAGATTTGAGAGAATAAGAGTAGAACTCATTCTCCATAAGAGGTACAGAAGAAGGAAAGAGCAAGGGTATGTCTGTATATAAGAGAACAAAAATTGTTATTAGGTTAAATAATAACAGTTGTTCGTACATTATAAGAAAGAGAAATAACTTGAACCGAAGTAGGGGTAACATGCCAAAACAAATTACACACTGGTGAAGAAGAGAAAGTGAGGAAGTATGATATTCTCACAAGTGTGCTGGCATAATGTGTATGTGAAGAGTCAAAATATCCCTGTGTTGTGACATGGGATGGGGATAGTGATTAATTACACTGAACAGCTATCTCATATATTAAAATTTCAACACATGAATAGACCTACATTCCATCTGTACTACTTAAAAACCTTGGGCACCATATTTTCCAATAGGTGATAGAAAGCAAAGGATAGATTAGGGAAAGAACTGGTAAGGCAATATACTAGAGACAGTTACATGGCAGACCACTTGGAACAATATCTGAATAAAGTTGTAAAATAATGCCAATATAGATTTCTTATTGTGCTTGGAAACTTTTGCCAATAAATATGATATAAATATGAAATGCATTTTTATTATTCATGAGATACATTTTTCATTATTATTAATGAAATATAGGAAAATTCCTACGCTTCATGTACCTGTTATTTTAGTGACATTTGATTCTAACTGATAGTCTCAGATCTCCTGTTAAATATTTGCATACAATAACTACAAATGAAGACTGATAGAGATGAATGTTATTGGTGACACCAGTACAACAAGTGTTTTGAAATGATAAGATTCAAATAAAACAATAACCAGTTTTTCTACTAATTTATGTGGTAGTTGAAATTCTGAAAAAAATCAGTGTGTGTTAAAACCTTGCAAAAATATTTTGTGTTTATATTAATGGAATTTAGACTCAATTTAGAATTATAACCACTTGAATGACACCGGATAATTCTTCATTGTACTAGAATATCCAGTTTAGTGCAGAATGTCTAATATCCCAAGTCCTTGCACTAAATGGTAGCAAGGCCACCTAATCACTATGAAAACTAAAAATGTCCCTACAAATTTCCAAAATATCCCTACATGGTGGTACTTTTTTCGTAGAGAACTACTGGCCTTGAGAAATAAGACAAAATTACCTCATACCAATTCTTTTCAGTTTTGGAAAGTTTTATAATAGCGCTTCTTCACTAGCTTTTGGGGAGTGGTTCTTAGAATTTTGGATTATATGAAGTGATGTAACATTAATCAGAACTTAGAGAAACTGGTGTAAGGTAGTCATAAGTTTGCCATTCCCACCCCCCCAGATATTTTAAAAATTACTATCATTCCTTAAAAAAAAACAAAAAATAAGTAAATAAAGAAAATCTGTTAAACAGAATGTAAGAAGGCAGGACATAGTCTCAAGTCTTTTTTCCCCCTTTTTAAAAACATTTTATTTACTTTGTTGTTGAGAATATACACAGCAAAACATACACCAATTGAACAATTTCTACATGTGCAACTCAGTGACTGATTACATTTTTCGAGTTGAGCAACCATTTTTACCCTCCTTTTCTGAGTCGCTCCTCCCCCGTTAATGTAAACTCACTGTCCCCTAAGGTTCCTCATCTTTCAAATCGCTGCTGTCAATTTGATCCCATATACAGATAGTTCTTAAAAGAGCATAATGCTCAAGGCAGACATTTTTTACTAGTTAAGCTAAACGATTGTTTAGTTTTTAGAAAACTTCAGGGGATATTTTTGTTTAAAGATTATCTCAGAGCAATAGTTTCAGGAGTTCATCCAACCTTCATGGCTCCAGGAAGTGTAGAGTTCATGAGCATTCTAAATTCTGCTCTACATTTTTCCCCCTTTTGATCAGGATTTTTCTATAGAGTCTTTGATCAAAATATTCAGTAATGGTAGCTAGGCACCATCCAGTTTTTCTGCTCTAGCAGCAAAGAAGACAGCATGGAGGCAGTTACCAACACATTCCAGATCCTTCTCTTATTCCTGACCCTTCTTCTTCCTCTGTTGCTCCAGGCGAATGGAGACCAATTGTTGTGCCTTGAATGGCCGCTTGCAAGCTTTGAAGACCCCAGGCACTTCACAGTGAACTAGGAGGTAGACCAGCAGCACTAGACATGTTATTAGACCAGTTAACTGGGATATCCCCTGAGGGTTTTGGTTGTACATAAGCAGCCTCAGCAGCTACTCTTTTTTTTTTAAATCATTGATAAATCTTTTCAATTAAAGAAGTTTATCTTTCAACATATTATTGTATTTTTTAATTTTTATTTTTTTCTTTTGACCAGTGAAAACTTAATGTAGGACATACTACAGTCTATTTACCAGTGTTTGGGAACTACAGGTTTGTGAAAAATTTTTTTACTGAAATTTATGTTTCATCATGCATACATTCTTTTACAGGTGAATATTTATCGTCTAGTTACAAAGGGATCAGTGGAAGAGGATATTCTTGAAAGGGCCAAAAAGAAAATGGTTTTAGATCATCTTGTGATTCAAAGAATGGACACAACTGGGAAGACAGTACTACACACAGGTTCTGCCCCTTCAAGGTAGTTACTTTACTATTAAAAAATGTCATTTTATAGTCACACTAAACTCATTTTTATGAAATGTTATATCACTGTAAGCAGATCATTGAAGGTGCTGTATTTGGTATTGTAATTTTATTTTTTAAGACTAATTTTTAGTCAGAAGGCATATATATTCAATACCTGGTTTCACCAGTCTGTTTTTGTGGTCTGGGACAAAATCCCTTTAAATTTTAGGCTTCAAGTTACCTAGTTTTACTAATACATACTGGTTATAAAAGTGTTAATATGTCAACAGTTAACAGAAGTTCTATGTAAATGTATTTATAACTGTTAAATACTTTTTGTTTTTCCTATTTTTAGTTCTACTCCTTTTAATAAAGAAGAGTTATCAGCCATTTTAAAGTTTGGTGCTGAAGAACTTTTTAAAGAACCTGAGGGAGAAGAACAAGAGCCCCAGGTAAGAAGAACTTGCCTCAGAATGTGTGTCATCTATTTGGTAGGAGGGAGGGGACTAAAGTATAAAGATTTCTTTCTAATTACAGGAAATGGATATAGATGAAATCTTGAAGAGGGCTGAAACTCATGAAAATGAACCAGGCCCATTAACCGTTGGAGATGAATTACTTTCCCAGTTCAAGGTAGATTAAAAAAAAAATTTTTTAATAATCATATAAATTTCAGAAATAAAGTTTATTAATTTTTTAAAGCATAATTAGCAGAGTAAGTTTTAAACAAATGTGTTTCTTAACATTTTCCCTTAAATTTTGCTATTGTGTATAAAAACCTCTCTCCCTTGTTCTGCCATATCAGTAGTAGCCTGATTTGGAAGGGACAAAATCATTTATGAGCAGTTACATTTGGTGGGGAAAGTGGGTTGTTACTTCTTAATTAGCACTAGAATAGTGCTGGATCAATAGCATGTTCTCGAATATTTGGATAAATAAATGAATGCGTGTGATCTCTGATTTAGATTTTCACTGCTGAAGGCTTTAGCTGATTTTTGTTGAAGCACATTTTGACATTAAATTAAGCTTTATCACAGCTAAGACAATTCAGATAATCAGTCAAAGTAAGCACAATAAGCTCCTAGATATTAGTAGTTATAAGTATCCCTGGTTTGGTGAGTGCTAAAAGGTTGCAAGGAGTCCTGAAGCAATGTTAGTCAACTGATTTCATAGAGTAAGTTGAATGCCAGTTATTTAGTTTAAAGAAGCCAGTTCTTCTTTATCCTAGCTGGTTTCCATAAGCTGAAGTTTTTAAGTATCAATTCATGTCATTTGTTTCTTCAAAAAATACTTATTGAGCCCCTGCAGTGTGCCTCACTCAGGGACGCAACAATGAACAGAAACTTTTGTAATTTGAATGGATCACTCTGGCTACGGTGTGGAGGACAGACTGTAGAATGGCAAGAATTCAGGTAGGGAGATAGAAGATGGTATATTAATCCCAGTTTCTGGAACTGGTACTGACTCTGGATATGGTTAAATTAACTCTTATGTTTTCCTGTATATTAAGTTATACCATTGTTGTTAGTTGCCATGGAGTTGATTCCAATTCATGGTGGATCCCATATGTTACAGAGTAGAACTGTGCTCCACAGCATTTTCTTGGCTGTAATCTTGACTGAAGCAGATGGCCAGGACTTTTCTTCCATGGTACCCTTGGGTGGGTTTGAACCACCAACCTTTAGGTTAGCAGTAGAACTTAAACCATTTGCACCACGTAGTGACCAATCCTCACAACAGTGTTCTGTTACTGTCATTTTTTTTAAGAGATGAGGAAACTAGGGCAAGGGAGCCCAAGTCATTTAAGATCACAAAGAGCTCCTTGTCTTTGTCAGTATCTCTTCAGGTACTGTTTTTATGATAATAAAAATAAGAATATTGGATTGTTTCTACAGCACTTGGTAGTTGTTGGACTTGTCTGGTAATTCCTGCAGAAGTATAAATTAATACTTGTTAATAGTGTCAATTGCTTTGTTTTTGTTTTTCTGCTGTTTTTGTTCTCTTCCTTTAGTTCTGTTTTAGTTATAATTTTGTTGAGCAGTAAAGTAAATGAGAATTATTCTTGGAAGAGGATTCTAAGAAGTCATTTGGTCTGATCTACTTTGACCTAATGACGAAATGGATCTAGGTAGTTAAGCAGTCATATTTGGTTTAGCCCACAGTTCAGTATCCTGAGAATTTTTAAATTTTACTGTCCTATTGTGGCACGCACTCTTCTTCCCCATAAAAGATAAAAATATAATTTAATTATAATTTTTATAATGCTTGTTCTGTTAAAATTTCTCAAATTTATCAGGTTGCCAACTTTTCAAATATGGACGAGGATGACATTGAGTTAGAACCTGAAAGAAATTCAAAGAATTGGGAGGAAATCATTCCAGAAGATCAAAGAAGACGATTAGAAGAGGAAGAAAGGCAAAAGGAACTTGAAGAAATTTACATGCTCCCAAGAATGAGAAATTGTGCAAAACAGGTAACTTTTTAATTTAAAAAATTTGCTGTAATGTAAGAGTATTCACCTTTGGAACAATCTTTTTTTTGTTTATGGCAGATATGGGTTTGTAGTTTTTTTGTAATATTTTTGTCAGAATTAATAATGAGTTGGGAAACGTTTTCTGGGAACAGTTTTATGTAGAATCGATACTATTTCTTCCTTATGTATTTAGTAGAGTTCACCAGTAAAATGAGTTGGACTTGGAGTTTTCTTTTTGGAAAGATTTGTAACTACAAAGTCAATTTCTTTAATATATATATATAGAATTGTCCTAGCTGTTTCTTCTTGAGTGAGCTTTGAAAGTTTGTTCCTTTTAACGAATTTGTCCATTTTATCTAAGTTGTCAAATTTATGAGCATAAATTTTTTCATATCTGTAGTATATTTAGTGAAAAACCCCCTTTTATTCCTAATATTGGTAGTTTTTGCTTGATTATTCTAGTTAGAGGTTTATCAATATTCATCTTTTTTAAGGAACCAACTTTTGGTCTCATTGATTTTTTTTTTTTTCTGTTTTCGGTTGCATGAATTTCTGTGCTTAAGTTTATGATTTCTTCTACTTGCTTTTGGTTTGATTTGTTCTTTGGTTTCTTAAAGTGGAAGCTTAAATAATTGCTTTGATACCTTTCTTTTCTTATATTAGCATTTTTAGTGGTATAAGTTTTTCTCTAAGCACTGGTTTGTCTGAATCTCACAAATTTTTATATATAGTGTTTTCATTTTCATTTACTTCAGAATAGTTTATAATTTCATTTTTGACTTCCTGTTTGACCCATAGGTTTTTTTTTAGAAGTGTGTTAATAATTTCTAAACATTTGGGAGCATTTCTAAGCATCTTTGTTATTGATTTCTAGTTTAATTCTGTTATGGCTAGAGAGCATATTTTGTATGATGTGATTTTTTAAAAATTTATTGATGCCTATTTTAAGTCCCAATGAATAAAATATTAACATTTTAAATAACAGGGTAAGCTGGAGGAGGCTGCAGCAAAAGGAAAAATCCACAATACTAGATTTTTTTTGCATTAAATTTTTTAAGATTGTCTTGATAACTGAGTTTTTTGGCGCCTCCTTAAATTTTGAGCCTGATGCAAATGAAACACTTTGCCTTACTCTACTCCTGGTCCTGCTGCCCCTTGCCCAGGTGTAGAGGATTCCACCCCCGCTTTTCTTTTCCTACAACCATATTGGTCTTCTCCTGTACCCTCAGTTCTGTAGGTAAGAAGGGTCTGACAGGGCGTCCTACCTGTGTTCACAAAGGTGACTGCTCCCTTTCTCCAGGCCTATACCATGGAGGAAAGTTTTCTCCAATTTCTTGCTCTCCTCCTAGTCTTTTCTCATGAGCACCGGGTAGAGATTTTTGGAGAAGAGCCTAAGAGTGGGTGCAAATTTCCCCTGTGTCTTGGCTCCAGGGATCCTATACTCTCATATTATCCCACACTTAGCCTTTACCAAATTTTAGCGAATTCCTCTTACTTGCTTGTTTGGCACTTGATGGGCTACCACTTGTACTCTCATAGGTGAGCCACTGTTCAAGGCGTATCTCTCCATGCAGGCTCCTGTCTTTCCTAATATTGTAGACTACTTGGTTACCTTATGATTATAGCTCTTGTGCATTTAAGAAAAGCTGTGACTTTGTAGGCTAATCCAGTTTTTTCTTGTTGTTAAGGTGGGATGAATCTCCTACCAGGTTTCTACATCCCAGACAGACGTAGAACCAAAGAATGTATTTTTGACCTGAAAGTGACTATACATGGTAGTTTTTTAAGTTAGTGTTTATTTCTGCGATTCCCAAAATGGTTTCCTTTTGTTGTGCATGGGAAACATAGCATTATATTAGATCTTGAGAAAGGATGGAAGAAAGTTAGAAATAGTAAAAACTAAACACCATCCTTGGCTTCAATTAGCTTGCAGCGTAGTAGGGGTTAAAACACATACTGAGACTTTGGGAAAACCTTAAAGACTTAACAGAAAATAGGTTTTTGATATTATCCATTAAAGAACTAATGGATGTTGCAAATAGGCTTTTATGTGGGTTCAGCTGGTATTTTTTGTTTCCAGTATCTGATCAGCCTGATTAAAATATTAATTAGTGGATATTTAGAAGGAGAACAGAAAGAAAATAAAATGACACATAGTCTGTCTACCCAGAGATACCACTAGTAATAATATTAGTTATTCATTATTCCCATCTTTTTTTATGCATATATTTACTAAATTAAATTGAACTCATTATTTTATAACTTGCTTTTTTTTCCCCTTTGACAGAATATATCATGAATGTTATTATTCTACAAGAAGATTTTTGTTGGCTTCTCAGTGTTTTCTTGTATAGATTATCCAGTTCCTTTTTGGAGGGATGTTAAAATGTTTTCCTTTTTTTTTTTTGGTGTAATTGTCTATTAGTCAGTGTTCTTTCACATATCTGATCTCCTTAGGGAAAATGCCTATGCCTAGAAGTGATGTTGCTAAGCCAGTTGCCAAATGCACCCTCACAGTTTACATACTCCACAAAGGTGTATGAATGTCCATTTTTCTGTACCATTTCCAATATTAACTATTATTGCTTAGCTATTCTTGGCCAATGTGATGGATAAAAAAAAAATTGAATCTTATTATTACCATAATTTATATTTTTTTAAATATTACCAGGGAAATTGTACAATTCTCATGATGTTTATGTCATTTGATTAATTGCTTTAGTAATACTCTTTCTCATTTTTACAAAAGGATATTGGTTATTTTTTTTCTGATTTATAAGAGTACTTTAAGTATCAAGGCTATTAATTACCCTTTGTCATTACTATGTCATGTTTCTCTGTTTTGTTTGCTTTTTTAATTTTGTTTATGGAATATTTTTGATATATAGAAGAATAATTTTTAATTGGTTAATTCTGTTTTCATAGTTTTTTCCTTTGCTGTCATGTTAGAAATGCCTTCTTTACCTTAATATTGGGTAAATCTTTTTCAAATTCCAGATTAGTTTCAATGGAAGTGAAGGGAGGCGCAGTAGAAGTAGGAGATACTCTGGATCTGATAGTGATTCAATCTCAGAAAGGAAAAGACCAAAGAAACGTGGAAGACCACGGACTATCCCTCGGGAGAATATTAAAGGATTTAGTGATGCCGAAATTAGGCGGTAAGATGACATGAGACAATTTTGCTTCAACTTTCTTTTATTGGATGGTAAAACTTATATATAAAATTCCTATCATTTTCAGAGATCAAGATAAAAGTTTTAGAGGAAGCAGTTATATGATACTTGAGTAGGAATTTGGGTTATTCTGCTTTTGGTTATTCATTATAACCCTGAAAAAACAAGTTCGGCATCTAATCTTTGCATATTATTTATTTATTGTTAGATTATTTAGACTGCTGAATTTTAAAGTTTTATTGTGTGTTTCAGAATAATTGCCCTTTTGAATAATAAAGATATATTTTGTACTTTAGGTTTTATGTACTGAAAAATTCTCATACATTTATGAATCTCACACGTAACTGTTTATGTGAGAATAATTTAGTTTCCTATTTTCCTACTTTCTTAACACTGAGTTGATTTGCCTTTCGAAAGTAACCATGGTGAAAGAATTTCTGATATATCCAAGTAGGAGTTGAGGTAAGATCGGCCATGCAGGATAAATTGTACTGTCCTTTCAAAATATATTTGTTTGTTTATATACGCTTCTCTTAAGGGGGATGGGATAACAGTCTTGCTTCTATTTATGTAATATTTCACACGTGAAATTTGTGAAAAAGTTGTTCATTTTTGTATTTTAAGAGTTTGTTGTTTCTTTGAAGCCATTTGTAATTCTTTTCTTTTAAATCATAGACCTGACAAAGTTGTTCTTCATTCTTTCTACCAGAAAACTAAATAAATATTGTTAGCTTTTGTTAAGGGTACTTTTATGACCACGTGAGTTGCTGGACTCTGTCTTTAGTTGAAGAGGCATTTCAACTTCTACTTTTCCTGGATATTTTTCCTCATCCATCAGGCAATTAGGTAGCTTTGTTCTTAAGTAAAATTTTTATTTTCCCTTGTTGGCATAATACTATAAGTCTGAATTAAAGCTATTCAGTAACTTTGAACTATACTTGGAATGTAAGGAGGTGTGATATGATTGATAATTATTCTGGAGACACTTCCTGTGGTAGCTTTGGACTTCTTTTTTTTGCCTTGTTGAAATAATAATTTCTGAAATAAAATTTAGCTTCTGTTGTTCTATTTATATTGGTTTCTAAACTGAACATCATGCTGGGCGTTTAAATAGTCTTATCTTATTTGACATATCTTAAATGTTATAACATTTTTGTTTTTAGCAGAGTTTATTCATTTTTGTTAGTAGCAGTGCCTTCAATGAATTTGTACACTAACAAGTATTTCTTCTTTCTGTATACATTATAAATACACATATTTTTTAGTGGCTAGTGAAGCCTACATTTAAAATAATTGTTTTCTGTTAGGTTTATCAAGAGTTACAAGAAGTTTGGTGGCCCTCTGGAAAGGTAAATTCGTTTATCATTCTCACGGAATTATAGAACGTGTTACATGCTCTCTGCTTTATTTATTTATGCTAATAGTCAGTTGAGCTACTTTGTTAAATTTGCTTTCAGCAGGTATTTACAACATTAATCTATAGAAAGCCAATTTCAAATTGATTTTTTAAAATGATTTTGTGCTATCCTTAATTCTTTTTAGTCATTAAAATTTCCTTATCTGCTATAAATTGTCTATAAAACACTATATTTACTTTGCACTTTAATAAGACATTTTCACATATTTTATCTCATTTATTCATCACAAACTTAAAAAATAGCATGAACAGAATCATCCTGTTAAGGCAGAATAGCCAAAACCCTTGTATCCTGACTTCAAGAACAGTGCTGTTTTCCCTAATTAGGGAAATTTCCCTAGTTACAGCTTTATTTTATATCACTGTGCTGTGATTCAAGTTGTTAAGACAAGTTTTTTTTAAGTTACTTGTTAACCCCAATTGTAGTTGGTGACTTGAATACTCTTTCTCCTTTGTTGTGGCCAAACCACTCTCTGAATATAGAGCAACATAGACCCAAATTAGTTTAATTCTATTTTTTCTCAAAAAATAAAATAAAACTCTTAAAAATAGAGACATTTTCAGTTTTATTTTGAGATGACTTAATGAAACACAATGAAATCTTGTCATAGTATTTTAGATGAGGAGGAAATGACTTGGTATTAATCATTATTCATTTTATCTATTCAGTTCGTAGTAATAAAAAATTTATAGAACCTTACTCTTACCCTTTCATTTCTAACTATCATGAAATTTAACCGCTTCTTTTTGATAGTAAGATTTGCTGAGTTATGAAAAGCTTTTATAGAATTGACATGTCATATTCAAATTTGGAGCATACCGTTTGACAATAATGAATTGGTTAATTTTTTTTATCCTTGAATATATAAGATTATTTTTCTACTAAATCTACCTATTTTTTATATATTTCATGCCAGTTATGTGAACTAGCACTTGAGGATATACAGTATAGTGACTTTTCGAGCTTGAAATAGAGGAAAGCTTAGTCTGTCTTAAATGGCACAGCTTGTTTGATATTTACCTGATAATTGAATTATTTCATTACAGATTAGATGCAATTGCTCGAGATGCTGAATTAGTTGATAAGTCAGAAACAGACCTCAGACGCCTAGGAGAGTTGGTACATAATGGTTGCATTAAAGCTTTAAAGGATAGTTCTTCAGGAACAGAACGAACAGGTAATATATTAAAATGTGATTTAAGTTATTAGAGAGTGGTTTAAAGAGAGGTAAAACTAAGTTTCAAAGTAACACTTACCCTGAGTTGTTGTTAGTTGCCCTTAAGTCAGTTCCGACTCATGGTGACCCCATGTATGCAAAGTAGAACTGCTCCATAGAATTTTCTTGGCCATAATCTTAGTGGAAGCAGATTTCCAGGCCTTTTCTTCCCTGGTACCATTGGGTGGGTTTGATCCACCAACCTTTAGATTAGCAGTTAAGCACAAAACAGTTTGCGCCACTCAGAGACCTCCTTATTGAGTCAAGTAGGTATTATATCTTAAGTTACCTATTCATCTGTCCCAAAACATGCTTTACAAACAAAGCCAGGCCATTCCTGGGAAATAGGAAATGGAGAACAGAATTATATTATTAAAGGCAGTAGAACCTATCCTTAGAGTCCCTGGTATATACTGATTGGGAGGTAACTTCAGGAATTACTGTTAACAGTACTGTATTTTTACTGTAGATTACTGGGAGAAGATAATGTAAATATACACATGGTTTGGGGCATAGTTATTTCATTGTGCTTATTTCACAATTCATTTACCTAAATAAAAATATTTAGATAAAATTTATAATCAGATACACTGAAAAACATTATACTTTAACTCTTTAGGGGCTGATGGTATTACTAGATTGATCTTATGTAATTGGTAAAACACTTAATTACATGAAATACTTTTTGCGACTCCAGATCTCCTGGATTATAATCACTAGTGTGTACTGGAAAATCTTATAGTGAAATTTAAGGTTTGCCAGTAAACCTGTCTGTAATATAAATAATGTAATTAATACTTATTAGTATAAGTAATACTTACTAGTATAAGTAATAACAAAGGGCTTTGTGCTTTCTAGAATTGATATATTTTATACTTTGTAATACTCTTTTTTAAAAAAAATTCAAGGTGGTAGGCTTGGAAAAGTGAAGGGTCCAACATTCCGAATATCAGGAGTACAGGTGAATGCCAAGCTAGTCATCTCCCATGAAGAAGAGTTAATACCATTGCACAAGTCCATTCCTTCAGATCCAGAGGAAAGAAAGCAGTGAGTTATTTAGTTTCTCCAGTGTAAAACTTTTTTTGTTGTTAAATAATTTGTGAATGTAAATGTGTATTAAAGAAAACGTTTTACTTTTTTTGATGCCATTAGCTGGTCTTGAAGCAAATGTTTTTAAAAACAAAGCATAGTATTTTGAAGTTTTAATGACTCAAATGTGTTTTCCAAAATTAATTTTTTAATAAGGCAACTGTAAGCTTAACTTGACAGTGGTTATTAACTTTAATAGGTATACTATCCCATGCCACACAAAGGCAGCTCATTTTGATATAGACTGGGGCAAAGAAGATGATTCCAATTTGTTAATTGGTATATATGAATATGGATATGGAAGCTGGGAAATGATTAAAATGGATCCTGACCTCAGTTTAACGCACAAGGTACTTTTGCATTTTTTTATTCTTTTGACCGCTAACGTTGATTTTAATTTAACCTAATTTTTGCTTTTAAATTATGGTGGAAATAAACTCTGGGAGTCAGGCGACCATGGCTCTAGCTAGCTGTGTAACCCTGGCTTCTTTAGAAGCTGGTTTTCATGAAGGGATTGAATTTAAATCATCCCTGAGAATCACTTTACCTTTAAAATTATATTTTTATTATTAAGACAAAGATGAATTTTATATATTTTTAATATCAAACAATGTTTAGGATTTTTGGTGGTTTTGATGCTGTTATGCTATTAGTTAAAATCATTTATGGGCCTAAAATGGAAAAAGACACTGGAGGTATTTATCATTTTAGTTGTTTTTCTTAATAATTTTACCTCTTCACTGACCTAATGGGAACCCATAATGCTTTGTCATTTGCTACTGTGAAGCTATCTTAGGATTCTGTAGGGAAACAGAAGCAGTGAGATATATACATAACATGGAGAGAGAGAGATTTACTTCAAAGGATTAGCTCATGCAGTTTTGGGGGCTGGCATGTCCACAGTCTGTAGGTTAGGTGACAGGAGACTCCTGCTTTCTGGCCATCTACTTCCAGAAAATCAGCGATTGAAAACCTATGGAGCATAGTTCTACTCTGACATATATGGGGTCACCATGAGCTGAAGCCAACTTGACAACAACTGTTGTTGTTTTTAAAACTGAATATACTGTTACTGAGAGGGAGAGGGAATCCAAAAATACTGTAGCATTTAATAACATAGGATGATGTTAAAACCAAAACTAAACCTACTGCCATCAAGTCAATTCTTATTCATAGTGATGGTGTAGGACAGAGTAGAACTGCCCCATAGGATTTCTAAGGCTGTAAATCTTTACAGAAGCAGACTGCCACGTTTCTTCGTGGAGCAGCTGGTGAGTTCCAACTGTTGACCTTTTGGTTAGCAGCCAAGCACTTAACCATTGCACCGCCAGGGCTCCTTTGGGTTATGTTGTAGTGGTTGTATATTTGAAAGAAATTTGTAACCTCACACTTTCAGTTCTCATTTTGAAAGATAATAAGGATTTGTTATAGTTATTTACAGTTCATTCCTAGAAAAATTAAATTTGTGGTTATGGTATAGGGATTTAAAAAAATGTATTTGCATTGTGAGTTGTTTACTCATATAAATTTTTTAAATTGTAACTTGGCGAGTGAATTATATATATTTTTTTAAACGGCTAAGCATTTTTAGCAGATACATTTTTCATATTATTAATAACAACCTGAAAAAACTTAATTGCTTTTCAGATTCTCCCGGATGATCCTGATAAAAAACCACAAGCCAAACAGTTGCAAACACGTGCAGACTACCTCATCAAATTACTTAGTAAAGATCTTGCAAGAAAAGAAGCTCAGAGACTTCCTGGTGCAGTAAGTTAAAATTCAGATATTTGAGATCTGTTTGCTTTTCAGTAAGATAAATCAGTGTATTGAACACCCTAGACATATGTAGTTTATATGAACTTATCAGTGTATTTCTCTGTAATTTTGTAGTTTTATTTGAATATGGTAATAGTAAGTTATCTGGACGAACATGTTAAAACTGGTGAGTCCTATCTTTCAGAAGTGGAATCTTAACACTTCTCATAAATATTTCAGAAGTTTTTGCTAGTATTTGGAAAGGGAATGGGAGAGGTTTGATATTTAGAGTGTGAGATATTTTTTTGAGAGATCAAGCCTGCATTAATGTTTTATTTGGAGGCATTGAAGAGCTTAAGGTCAGCATCAGAGGTCACTGAGCGTAATTATAAGGGGGCTCCAACAATGTAGGAAAAAGACACTAAGAGGGAGGTCATTGAAAACTAAAGCTACCTTAAAAGTTTGCCTGTAACCATAGTGTCAGTAACTGCCTATGTAATATTAGGTTAAATATTTAAGTATTTAAAAAATCAAATACTATCTGTGGTAGCATTGTATTTACTTGAAGATAATATTAACCTGGGAGTATGAAAATTTTATTTCTATTTCTGTCTAATCCTCTATTAAATGAATAATTAGTTATAGTTGGTTAATATTTATTATTCATATTAATATTGTATTTGATTCATTACATTATATCAAGTTTGTATGTTTTCCTAAGGTTGGTGCAGTTTATTACCAACAGACTTAGGAGTGGGTAAAAATAGAAGTTTTTTTTAGCGTTTTAGGTTTAGTATTGATAAAATTTTTAATGGACTCAACAGAATTGGTTAAAATAAACAATTCTTTTTAGGGAAGTTCAAAGAGAAGAAAAGCAAGAGCTAAGAAGAATAAAGCAATGAAGTCTGTAAAAGTGAAAGAAGAAATAAAGAGTGATTCTTCCCCCTTGCCCTCAGAGAAGTCTGATGACGATGATGATAAGGTAGGAGTGGGTTTTTGGAAAACAGCCTTTCCTATGGAAAGGGAACATGTTTTAGTAATTACATTTAAAACTTGAACTAAGTCCTAAAGTTTTAGATAGTGAAGTCCTTTTTTATGACTCATTATATTGTCTCATTTATACAACAGAATTTTGCCTATCCACTAGGAGTATTATATATCATTAGAGGGATAGAGCAAAGGTCCTTCCTTTTCAAACATTTGCCAATTGAATGAGCTTCTGTCCCCTTTCATTTTATTAGGAATTTTGAATAGGACTGACTTACCTTAATTTATAGGAAGGCAAGCATTGCATGGATCATAATTAATGGGATTCTGGGTTATTTCTTTCAGAATCCGCATACATGCAATCCATAGTCATGCCAAGAGAAAAAAAATTAGTCTATGTCAAGATTTGGTTAGTAATACATTGGCCATACTTGCACTTTCCAGGATGAGGTCACTTCTGTGAAACATCCAAATAAAAAAGTTAAAACAGAAAGAGACAGTGAAGAAAAACCTGAGCCAGATGTTTGTATAAAGAAGGAACCAGAAGAAAAAAGGGAAGCAAAAGAAAAGGAGAATAAAAGAGAACTTAAAAGGGAGATAAAAGAAAAAGAGGGTAAGAAAGATATAAAGGAAAAAGATTTTAAAGAAAAAAGAGAAACCAAAGTAAAAGAAGCTATGCAGAAAGAAAAAGACATAAAGGAAGAAAAGGTATGCAAATCATAATGTAAAATTTAGAAAGTGAAAAAATCAGCATATTTACACTTAAGGAGAACAAATTGTCAGACCAAATTAGTCTGAATAACTGAGTACCTTAAAAGTTGTTATGGGTGTCTAAGTAGTAGAGGAGAAAAATAGCTTTGAACACTTTCAAATGTCTTTCCCATAGGGTAACATTACAGAGTAGCTTTATTTTTTGGTCTCCCCAAATAAAATTGGGGAAAAAATAAAATAGTGAAGAGTATCCAGTCAGAGTAAGCACTTGTGGAAAGATGAGACAATAATTGTTTTCTATAAGTGTTAATCATCTTGCCTTTGTTATTGTTTGGTTTTGTTTTTGTTTTCTGTTTTACTTCAGTTGAGTGAATGCAAGTCTGATAGCAAGGAAAGATCTAAAAAATCTTCAATATCAGATGCTCCAGTTCATATCACTGCAAGTGGTGAACCAGTTCCCATATCTGAAGAATCTGAAGAGCTAGATCAGAAGACATTCAGCATTGTAAGTAGTAGACTTTCTGATTATTATTGTTCATATACCATTTTATTTAAATTGCAATTTCATCTTTTGGAGTTTGTAGTTTAGAATTTGTAATTTGAATATGATAATACTGCAGTTCAAACTGATCAAAGCAACAGGTTTAAAGTTTGAAAGGTGTCTTAAATTTAGAATTAACCTTGAAAACCTTCTGATTAAAGACTTTAAAGAGCAAGGGGTGTAGGAAATTAGAGTGAACTTATTTTTTCTAGCTTTAGAGTTTTAAACTTTTTTAATTCCTGAACCTTTTGTCTATATATAATAGTGCTTCTTATCTATGGTAAAGGAATAGTTTTTTTCCCCTCCAATCTTTCACAGACGAATATTTTTGTAAAACAACAATAAAAATGAAATGTGAAAAAATATATACAAAATGCAAGTCCAATTATTTTATTACTAGATTCAATAGACTTAAATTCACACTGTCTTTTGTTTGCGAGTTCAGCTTTTTGCAGGTGTACAGCCAATTATTGTAATTGTTGTCAATAAGTTGTACATCTGTCAAAAGTTGAACTGGCAAATAAAAGCTGTATGATAGATATGTTTACAACCAAATACTACACCACCACCAGCCCCCCAATAAAAAAAAAGTAGTTGCTGAGGGTGCTTATGTATAACCCAAAATCGCTTGGGATTTGGTTGCTTGGTTTGGAGGTTTAGGGTCATAGTTGCATGGGATGTCACAGTTACTTGGCCTAATAACATGGTTAGTGCTTCTTTTCTGCCTCCTGGTTCTAAAATAGACTAGTTCTACATGCTATCATGCTTTTATAGTCCTTAAAATAAAAGAGAACCTTTCTTGCCCTTTTTACAAAGGGCAAGAATATGATCTGGAGCTCACTGAGTATAATCAGAAACTCATAAACTTGTCTTAACTGTGAAATTATTTGTGTTACAAATTTTGAGGAAAGCTTTATATGAAGGTTGCAATGTGGGGAAGTATGTATAGTGGTTGAGAGTAGTAGCTCTGGAGTCTGAATACTGCTATTAGGAATACTGCTATTAGTTAGTATGAAGATTAAATGAGTCGGTAAATGTAAAGATTTCAGAACAGTGCTTGGCACATTGGAAATGCTTGAAAATTGGTAATAGTTGTGGTGGAGGTTGTTACTGATTTCAGACATGCCAGCAGATTGTTGACTGAAAAGTTCAGTAATATAGCAGAATCAGGAAGAGTAATGATTTTAGGGAGAAAGAGCTTAATGAGATGAGACAGTAAGAAACTACCAAAATTGAACAACCAACAGAAAACACAGAGACAAACAAATGATGCTAAAAATTCAACAGGAAATTAAAGACTTTTTGCTTTAAAAAAAAGTGTGTGGGGGTGGTGGGGCATTAGACCTGGCTGAATTCTAGCTTTGACTATCAAACCAAACCCACTACCGTCAAGTCGATTTCCGACTCAGCACCATATACAACAGGGTAGAACTGCCCCATAGGGTTTCCAAGGCTGTAAATCTTTATGGAAGCAGACCACTATGTCTTTCTCCCACAGAGCAGCTGGTGGGTTCCAACCACCAACCTTTCAGTTAGCAGCCGAGCTCTTAACCACGATTTCTCTTAACTAAAGATGGAAAACATTCCAATTCACTGTGGACAAATAGATCAATGAAACTTAATAAAGCACTCGGAAGTAAATCCACACATACATAGACAATTTATAATAAGATTGGCCTTCTGAGCAGGGATGAGAGAAGTCTTTTAAATAAATGGTGTTTGAGCAACATAAATATATTGTCTGATGTTGACCCATCCTTATATTCCTGGAACTAAACTAATGTGCTACTCATGAATTTAATTCTTGTTAAATTTAAACTTGTTTTTGCATTTATATTCGTAAATGAAATTTATGTAATGTTTACTTTTTTAATAATGTCTTTATTTTGGCTTTGGTATAAGGTTATAGTTTTTATTACATGATTTGGACTTCAGTTGATTTTTTATGTCATTCTTTCATTAATGTGCCAGGCGAGTGTAGACAAGGAAAAGGTTCATTTCTATCAATCATTCTCCACCCCCTGACCCTCAAGATATGATAGTAGCAAAAGTCATATTAACCACTTTGTTTTGTCCCAAAGGTTTAGAAGAGTAATTTATATATCTTGCTATATTGATTCTGATAGTTTTGGTAGTATATTTTATTATATGAAAATCCTGACTAGTCTTTTTAACACATTATATTGTAATGAGTATAAGGTATTGTACTGTGAAATATTTTACTGTCTTTAATATTCTGTGTATAAAAAGTTGTTAATTGCTGTCGAGTCCATTCTGAAGTGTGGCGACCCCATGTATGCGGAGTAGAAATGCTCCATAGGGTTCAAAGCTTTGACCTTTCAGAAGCAGATCTCCAATCCTGTCTTCCGAGGCGCCTCTGGGTAGGTTCGAACTGCCAACCTTTCAGCTGGTAACGGAGCACTTAGCTATTTGCGCCACCCAGGGACTCTTTGTATAAAAAGTAACTTTTTTTTTTTTTTAATACTACTTATACCCCAAAAAAAAAAGTATAAAAAATAATCTGGGAGGCGGGGCCATAAGCTAGGTAAAACTCAAAGCTTTTACTTAACACAAAGACTGATAAATTAACATTGTCTGATTTTAAATGGTAATGAAAAGCTGTTTTCCTGAACAACATCAGAAGGGGGTGGTCCTAATATTTAAGAGAAGGAAAGGGTCATTCAGTGATGGAATTCTCACCTTCCATGGGGAGACCCAGGTTTGATTCCTAGCCAGTGCACCTCAAGCGGAGCTACCACTTGGCTATCAATGGAGGCTTGTGTGTTGCTGTGATGCTGAACAGGTTTCAGCAGAGCTTCCATACTAAGATGGATTAGGAAGAAAGACGTGGTGATCTGCTTCCAAAAATCAGCCACTGAAAACGCTTTGGAGCACAACTGTCCGATAGGCTGTAGCACATGGGGTCACCATGAGTCAGGGTTGACTCAGTGGCAGCTAACAACAACAGATATTTCAGAGCTGTAAGGTGATATTTAATGCTTATCTTGGCACCAAACAATGCTGCATATTTACGCAAGTAAATATCATTGAAAGAGGTAGATCTTGTTGAATTCGAGTATTTAATATATGTGTTTATATTCTTATTTTCCCATTTAAAGTGTAAAGAAAGAATGAGGCCTGTCAAAGCAGCTTTGAAACAACTTGATAGGCCTGAGAAAGGTCTTTCAGAAAGAGAACAACTGGAACATACTAGACAATGTTTAATAAAAATTGGAGACCATATCACAGAATGTCTGAAAGAGTATACAAATCCTGAACAAATTAAGCAGTGGCGAAAGTAAGTGATATACTTTTCAGGAAGTGTTAAATTCTGTAACTGTGTAATTCTGTAACTATTTTCACTTGTATTTTGTTTATTTTCCTGCTTCTGACGTTTAGGTAATAAAATATTGTTTAAAGAGGTGACTTGAAAATTATTTTAGGTTTCATTTCTGTTTAACCTTAAAGCTTTTTATTCGTGAATGATTACTTATATTCATCAAGATAAACCCACCATGATTATCTCTGCCTTTAAATAGAAACAGTGAAACTTTTTTTTAATTAAAATTCAGATTGTATTTTATTTTAAAAAGTCTTTGCAGTTGACCAAATTATTCTCAGAAATATCTTCAGAAATTAGTGTGCCAAACAGATAGATTTATTGTTATATAAATTTAGCAATTCATCTTCTGGATATATTATACAGTCTTATGAAAATTAATATCCTTCAGCAATATAAAATGCAGATACCTGTTTTCTCTTTTACTTTAGAAGCACCATCAACACAGTTATCTCAAAATTGTAAATCTGGGCTGCTCTGTTAGTTTACAGATCAGCTAACTTAATGGGTAACAGATCAGAATAGAGTTAAGGCACACTACTAGACAAGAAAAAAGTAAAATGGGTACTTAACCAGTCACTTACATCGGTGTATTAGCCTATTGACTTCTTTGCGATATACACAATGCAGCTACACATCAAAACAAGTGTAATAAAATATTTCTGGAATTTGTGGAGGACTAATAATGTCAGGATAGCACAGGACTGGGTAATGTTTCATTCTGTTGTACATAGGGTTGCTATGAGTTGGAACTGACTTGATGGCCCCTAACAACAATAGTGATTAGACTAAAGTGAAAAAAAAATCTGATCCTTGTCCCCTTTCTTCTTAAACCCAGCCAAGATCCACTGATACTAAGGAGAAAATATTTAATTGTGTATCATGTATCTATTTTTTTAAAAACCTTACCATTAGTATTTTAGATTTTTGTGGTTGTGAAGAGGCAAGTGTCTACTTTACCTGCTGTCTAGACTAGAAATAAGAAACATCTTATTGAAGTTACTTAGTGACTAATACAAATAGATGTTATTTCAGATTTAGTTATTAGGAAAGAAGTGAAAAACAAGAAACTCTGCAAGAAGAGAGACCAGTAGCCAGGAGACTTCTTCCTGTTTTGTCTACCCTTTTTTTTTTTTTTTAACTTTCAGAGACTCTAATACCTCTTCCCTTTCTCCAGCTGGGCAAATTGCCTTTTTGTCTTTCCCCTGTTAGCTTTCATCAACCTTGACTTCATATTTCTGGGTGTTCATTCATGCCACCACTGACTCTGGTTGTACCGGATTCCCTTAAACAGAGAGGGGCAAGTAAAAAACCCGAGCTGGGGAATATTTCAGAAAACAAATTAGCTTTTGCTCTGCTTTGAATGCTGTCTCAAAGAAAGAAGTTATTTAAAAAAAAAAAAAAAAAAAAACAGCTGAAACAAGGAAATAATTCCTCTGCATTAAGATGTGTCATTAAACTGCTGAAACCTCCCTTGAAAGAACACAGCTACGTTTATTAAGTGTACAAAATGAAAGAAGATAAAGACATGATCCATAATTGTATTTAAAAAAAAAAAAAAACAAACATTGCCATCAAGTCGATTCTAAGTGCATAGAAACACTATAGGACAGAGTAGAACTGCCCCATAGGGTTTCCAAGGATCAGCTGGTAGATTTGACCAAAAACCTTAGTTTTTTTTTTTTTTTTTTACTGTGGCTTACCTGTGCCATTCTCTAATACAACTATCCACTGGAAAAGAACTTAGACGTTTAAAAAAAAAAAAAATTGGAAGTGGGAAGAGATGAAGGGAATTTCCTGGGGTATTGATAATAGCCTATATATCTTGACATGAATTTGGGTTAGACAGTGTATTAATGTGCCGAACTTGGCAAATACGCCCTTAAATATTATGCATTTCATTGTATGTAAATTTTATATTACAAGAAAAAAATATTGAACTCCAGTTAATGATACGCATGCTGAAATATCTACGGGGAGCTATACTGATGTCTTCCAAGAATTACAGCCACAATGTTCCTTAGAAGTGAGGATGTGAGACTTCATCTCACATAGTTTGGACATGTTACCAGGAGGGACCAGTCTCTGGAGAAGAACATCATACTTGGTAAAGTAGAGGGTCAGCAAAAAAAAGGAAAACTCTCAACAAGATGGATTGACAGAGTGGCTGCAAAAATGGACGCAAACATAGCAATGATTCTGAGGATGACGCAGGGCAGTGTTTCATTCTGTAGTACATGGGGTAGCTGTTAGTCTGAACTGATTCCGTGGCACCTAACAACGACGACATACTAATGTGTGAATTTTACTTTGAAACCCATAAATCAAAAATAGAGTATGGATATATGGAATGATGTGTGATAAAGCAAATACAGTTAAGTGTTAATAATATCTAAGTACTAGGTATATGGGTGGTCATTGTAAAAGTTTTTTGTCTTTATATGTTTGAAAATTTTCATAATATTAAACAATTTGAAACAAAATTATGTATGGTATGTATTATGAAAGTATCCATTAGCTAAGAACAGCCTAATAATATTACATTGTTGTTGTTGGTGTAGTTTCATTTCATAGGCTATGAAATACCACTGTAGAAGCAAATTTTGAGAGTGATTTAGATACAAGGTTGTGGATGTTTGCTGTTTAAACTACAATGCGTTTTTACAGTCTAGTTTTTGTAAAATTACTAGTAATTGCTCTACCCTATTTACAGATTCATGCTTTAACATAGTTACTAAAAAACCAATTTGTAGTTTATGAATAAAATATAAATATGTGGAATCATTACTAATACTTCAGTGATGGCAGATAGACTTTAACTCAAGTGTCACTGATTGTCAGTGGCTATCAATAAAGTTGTATTGAGAGGGATTCAAAGGTATATCTGAATTCATCATGAAAGAATACTATGATCAGTTACTAATATCTGCCTTGGGATGGGAAAAGTAACTTAGACAAACCATGCTGTCCCTAGTTTATAGTATCTTGTCATGTTACTCTCATCACCATAATAAAACAACATATGCATTTTAATGCATTATTTAGTACCATTCTTTCACAAGCTTACTCCTTATTAGCTGATTGTATGTCTACTCAAACTACTAACATATCCTGTTCCATGTGCGCATAATCTTGTTCACAAGGATATGGGTCTCTTCCTACTTGTTGGTTTACATCTCATTGGTACATTTCAAATTACTATCCAAAGATTATAAAATGAAGGAACTTGGAAGAGAATTAAGAATTATGTTTAGTTTCATTGGAGCCTTGTCTATATGTGAAGTTTTAATAAATAATAGGAATAATGTCCTTAAACTTTGTTTCATAGAGATCTGGATATGTGTGTATGTGTGATTCTGTCTAGAGGGAAGGGACTCAGTGAAAAAAATATTTTCTTTCAGACTAATAAGCCTTTTTTTCTTCTAGAAACCTGTGGATTTTTGTATCTAAGTTTACCGAGTTTGATGCAAGAAAACTACACAAATTATATAAGCATGCTATTAAAAAACGGCAGGAATCTCAGGTAAAGTAATGCATTTTTTTCCCCTTAATTTATTTCTTTAAAATTATTAGGCATTCTTCCTTATAGATGAATTCAGGTAATAAATGTAGAAGAAATTAGGGATATAGAAAATCACCATTAGAGCACCAAAGTCATAATTGTTGCAGGTGAGATCCACTGATGGCAGCTAAAATCAGTGGGCAGAAATCAGGATATTGACATAATGTAAAAGTATCTCCTCCAAGATGTTTATTAACTGCAAAGGGAAAAATAACTTACACAGGAGAAACCTGGCTGATACCACCTTAACCAAGTCATCAAGGTTAATGTCATCAGTAATAAGACATTGACATCATTGAACCCCCTGATATGATGCCCTGAGAAAGACATGTCACTTAGATGGTATTCTTGCTAAAAATGCAGAACCTTAATCTAATCATGAGAAAATATCAGACAACCTCAAATTGAGGGACATTCTCCAAAATAACTGTGTGATAGTCTTCAAAAATATCAAGGTCAGTCCCATCCCATCTGGAGCAAAGGAGAATGAAGAAAACCAAAGATACAAGGAAAATATTAGCCCAGAGGACTAAAGGACCACATGAACCAGAGACTCTACCAGCCTGAGACCAGAAGAACTAGATGGAGAACATAATTCAAATTTACGAAAAAAGACTAGACTACCTGGTCTGACAGAGACTGGAGGATCCCCTGATACTATGGCCCCCAGACATTCTGCTAACCCAGAACTGAAACCATTCCCAAAGCCCACTTTTCAGACAAAGGGCCTATAAAAAACAAATAACACGTGAGGAATGTGCTTCTTAATTCAGTCAAACATATGAGACCAAATGAGCAGCTCCTGTCCAAAAAGCAAAGACGAGAAGGCTGGAAGGGGCAAGAACTGAATGGACACACAGAAACTGGGGTAGAAAGGGGGAGTGTGCTTTCACATTGTGGGGATTGCAACCAATGTCACAAAACAATATGTGTATAAATTTTTGAATGAGAAATTAACTTGAACTGTAAACTTTCGCCTAAAGCACGATAAAATTACATACATACATATATGTATACACACACACACACACACACACACACACACACACACATATATATATCTCTCAAGGTCATGGAAAACAAGATAGACTAAGGAACTGTCACAGAATGGAGAAAACTAAGGAGACATGACACCTAAATGTAATGTGAGGTTTTAGGTTGAATACTAGGACACACAAATAAAGGACATTAGTGAGGGAAAATGTCAAATCTGACTAAAGTCTGTAGTTTGGTTAATAGTATTGTATCAATGTTAATTACTTGGTTTTGATCATTATACTATGGTTATGTAAGATATTAACAGTAGGAGAAGCTGGTTGAAGGGTATATGGGAACTCTCAGTCCTATTTTTGCAACTTGTCTATAAGTAAATTTTTTTTCAAAATGATTTCATTTAAAAGTTATGAGGCAAACAGTTGTGCTTTAAAAAAAGTTTGGTAAATGTTTTCTACATTCTGAAACCTTAAGTGATGTCTTTGTTCAGTATCAGGATTTTCTTTTTTAAGGGTTTTTTTTATGTTTTCTAAGAGTATTTGAAGCCACTTATAAAAAGATTCTTACATATGTGCATTTATTTTAGCAAAACAGTGACCAGAACAGCAACTCGAATGCTCACATGATTAGAAATCCAGGTACGTAATCCTCGCTAATTGTTTTGGAGAATAAATATTATAAAAAGGTATTTTCCTCTTTTTGATTTTGTTTTAAATAAACCAAATTATAAAATGGGTTTTTAAGTTGTTTTTATTTAAAAGTATCTTTACATTAAGAACATACTGTGATTTTAATACAAACCTACATATTATATCAAATTTATTATCTTAATAATACTTTTTAGCTTATTATGAACTTCCATAAATTATTCAGCCTTTTGCCAGTTTCTAGGAATTGTAGGATGATTATTAAAATGAGTGTATATTCTTGTTTGTTATTTGAAATAATAATGCATTCTTTTTGTACAAAAGTATATATAGTCAGTCTCTGAGAAGGAAAGGGCCCATATTTTTCAGTCGTGATTCTTCACATTTAAGAATCAAGTGACCCTTTCTAAGCCTTAGTTCTGCTCTTATAGACCGTTTCTAAATGCTTTAGCTGCCTCTATTTGGAGTCTGATTTTGTTTTGGTAGGAGTTGAAACTGGAGTTTTCGTTATCTACCTGCAAAGTTATTTTTATCACTTTTTTTCTTTTAAGTCATTAACAAAAGTTGGGCTTTTTTCTAACAGATGTGGAAAGATTAAAAGAGAACGCCAATCATGATGATAGCAGCAGAGACAGTTACTCATCTGATAGACATCTAATATCTCAGTATCATGATCATCACAAAGACCGACATCAGGGAGATTCTTACAAAAAGAGTGATTCCAGGAAAAGACCCTATTCTTCTTTTAGTAACGGTAAAGATCATCGTGATTGGGATCACTATAAACAAGACAGCAGGTAAACTTGATAGTCACTTTTGAAATTCGGCTTATACATGTCTTTCTCTTTTTGATTGTGTTGTGCTGTGTTTGACCTGTCAGCCAGTTCATTCTTCAATCAAAACAAGTCTTTTGTGAAAACAGAGTATTTATTTTGTTAATATTAAGAACTAAACTTAATATTTAGTTTTTCAAATTATAAATTTAAAATCAAAATATACATTAAGAGATGAAAGTCACTGTGGGAAATTATAAAATTAAACTTGGATTCATTATTGTTGCTTTTGGAGAATATTTGCTCAAATAGTCTTCAGAATTTAATGGGATAAAATAAACCTGGACAGAATATCATTAAAATTAGTTGGGGAGAATTCTGCATTCCATATTTTGAAATAACTCATGAGGGGAAGATTATGTGAACATACCTCACTGAGGCTAAACTTAGCCTCTGTAATCTGGGCTAGTCCTGAAACCAGGATTTTATTTTAGTTTAGTTTAGTTTTATAAAGCCTTTGAGCGGAAAGCAACCTGAGAATAATAACAATGGTAGAATAGCTTATGAAATTACTGGTAGAGGAATGTTCTCATTAGTTAATGATGGTTACTAAAAGCAAACGTGAAAACTAAGAAGAACAAGATGAGAAATAAATTAGAAGACCTTTGTTTGAATATTAATTGTGCTTACTGCAATAATTTCTTCTCCCTGAGAAGCACTGTCACAGTATGAACACATCAGTTGCACAACAGCTATTAATATTAGGAAGGGGCATATGATGAAAGGGAAAAGCCATATTTGTAGTAGTATATGTTTATAATTTCACAGACTTAGAGAACATGATTTATATTTGTTTATAATAGCTTTTAGTCAAAAACAGCCAAAACATTAAATTATGTTGAGTGTATCTTATTTGAAAGGGCAAGCATTTTAGAGGTTTTTCATTAAACTGCCACTTTTATTTATGTGTGGAGTAAATTTCTAAATAATGATTTATGAGTTAAGTCTTATTATTACTAGTCAAAATTGAGGAAACTTTTAATAGACGTAGCCTACCAATGAAAATTCTCCTTTATGAGTTATTTCATAGATTGCATTCTAGAGGCTTTTATTTTATGTGCTCAGGGGCATAAGGGCATTTCAAGTGTATTCTGAATACTTGCAGTCACCTTAAATGTAACTTCCAGGTAATAAAGATACATTAATACTAACATATAAAATAAAAATTAGCAACTGCTCTAAAATGGGCGTGTGGAATTAGATGCTTTCTGACGTGCTTGCTCTGTATTGTTCACTTTAGTTTTGTGAATCTGTTTTTCCAGAGGCATCTAGAGATATTTTCCAGTGGTTTTTAAGGTTATTTATGAAGTTTTATAATGAAACACTGAGGTTGTAAACAATTAAAAAGATGTTTTTAAGGATTTTTGTGTTTTACTTAATTTTGTTTGGAAATATTTTAGTTTACATTATTAATTTGACTAAAATTCCTAATTTCTCTTTTATTAGATACTACAATGACAGAGAGAAACACAGAAAATTGGATGATCACAGGAGTAGAGATCACAGGTCAAATTTGGAAGGAAGTTTAAAAGATAGATCTCATTCTGATCATCGTTCTCATTCAGATCATCGGTTACATTCAGACCACCGGTCAAGTTCTGAATATACACACCATAAATCTACCAGGGATTATAGGTATCACTCAGATTGGCAAATGGACCACAGAGCTTCCAGTAGTGGCCCTAGGTCACCACTAGACCAGAGGTCTCCTTATGGCTCCAGATCTCCCTTTGAACACTCAGTTGAACACAAAAGTACTCCTGAGCATACCTGGAGTAGTCGGAAAACATAACAGAAACTGATAACTTTGTCTTTCTGGACTTTTCTTTTAGCCATATATCATAAACCAACACAGTAATTGCCTTACATGACTTGAAAGATATAAACAGATCTTCTGTCAGTAGCAGTATTGTTACTTCTTTCCAGGATGCAAGGTCTATTATCCCAACAGAAGAGAGAATATTTTTATATTTAAGGATTATGCTGCACTGTACTACAAATATTGTGGTACTTTTTTTTTTTCTTTTTTAAAGAAATGGAAAATGTTTACTATTACAGGGACCTCAACACTGCCCTCCCATATAGGCTGGATAAAACTGTTTTTAAGTCAGTGATTTTTGACTGACCTCCATTTAAATTATGTTTGTATATGAACTGTACACTCTGACCTGTGATCATGTTTCAGGAAGGAATGAAAGAGAGTTCTTTTCTTAATAAAGAAAAAACACTCAAGGACTTTGTTCACTTTCCAAAGCTACTTGTTTACATTGTACACTGCGACCACCTTGCCGCTTTTCATCACAAGCTTGAATATTTAAATTCTGTACTTATATCTGTAAAATAGCCAGGAATTTCCTGTTTGTGATCTATTATTATGCCTTTAAAAAAAAAATGGCTGTAAATTATTGTAAATGGATTAAATGAGCTTTCCTTACTTCCCTTCCCTTCTCAGGCTTTTTTTGACTGTTCCCTTTCCCTACCAACTCAGGCCTTCTTATCATTTAAAAAAAAAAAAAAAAGAATCAGTGTAATAACACTTTTTAATGATTTGTCTTGATGGAATCATTTTTTAGAATGTAAAAATGGGGAAAGGGGCCACTTAATTCCATTAGTCTTCTTTTTATATTGAATATTTTATTAGATACATGTTATCTCTTCCTCTTTTTTTTTCCCCCTCTTTTTTAGTCAATATTGTGTTTATAGTAACAAAATGGTGAGATGATACGTAAAATCTAAACTGCATGCTCTGGAAACATTTTTTTTTCAGATGCATTTGGTTTAAAAGGGTAGGTGTATGAACACTTTCAGAATCCAAAACAGCCAAAAGTTATTGTAAAATCCATTTGTTTTCCCTTTTCATGTGGGCAATAATGTCAAATGTGCTATGCAGCCAGGTAACCTTTTAGATAAACTTGATTGACTTTTAATATAAACTGTTACAATGCACACTGATTGTATATAAAAACCTTATATATGACAAATTAAATTTAAGAAAAAGGATATGTGGGCTCCTGTAATTTTCTGCTGCATTCTTTTTCCCTCCAGCACTTAACCTTTTTTTTTTTTAAATAACATTTAGCTGCCAGAAAGGATATTTTGGTAAGCAGTTGAATATTCTTAATATGTAGCACTACAGCTAAATCTGTTTTAAAGACTATATGAGTCTTTCTATGAAGTAACACTTATTTCATATAAATCATTGTTGGACTCTCTGGCTTCCTGCAAATATTATTTTAGAATGCCTTATATTTATTCACAGATTTTTATTTTGTTATATTACGTGGGAATTTTTGAATAATGTGGAATACATTCCTGGATGTATGCTGTGATGTAACAAATTTGAATTTTTTAATTTTAACTTTGACAAATAACGCGTATAAGAATATATTCCTATATGTGTCCCTGTTAATTATTTGTGGGAGCAATCTACAGAAACTTGTCCATCAGTGCAATGTATTTTTAAATATTTTTTTTTAATCCAGTGAGATCTAAAGTTTATACTATGTGTACAAAACAAAGCTCTACTTTTTTTTGTTTTTTTAAAACAGTGATTTCTCTTTTAGATACAGTTGCCCTGAAAAACGATGAACTGTTTCTTTTCTGGTATATGAAATAACATGAAGGAATAACTCAATTTCTAAACATTTAATTTATAATTAAATATAAAGGTGATGAAACAACTTAGCGTGGCACTTTTTTAAGCTTGTTCACTTTTTTCCACATCGACTATAAATGATTGTTCTATTTCACAAGATAGTATTTGACTAAAGATTATAGTACTTAATGAAGTCTTAATATTAACACAATAAGTTGATGAGGGTTGGCATTTTTAATTCATCACCTTGTAGCTGGGACATTTACTTTATATATGACTGCAAATTTCATAGGAGTGGGCTCCTGTAATTTGAAATACATTGAAAAGAAATTTTGTTTTTTGTCTCAAAAAATACTGCATTTTTTGAGACAATGAAATGGGCTCTTTACAATGCTACGTTTAGTTGAATATTTCAGTCAGCCAATGAGCTGAGTTGAATGAAAATCTAAAACTAACATTAATTTGTGGAAAATGTTCATTTGTAAGAAGTCATCAATTATGTGGAAAAGGAACAAGCCATAAATTTATTAAGACACAAAGGAGAACATGAGTACATAGATGTAACAAGGAACATTATAAAATATTACATGCTCATTCTGCTTCACTATTTTTATCCATTTATGTTTAATTTTTCAAAGATGAGAGTATTCATAGTACTGTACTGATAACCCTCCACTTTAATATACAATAAATGATTCTTTCTAAAACTAATGGCCTGTTTGCTTTAAAGAAAATATTGTTTGTTTAGGATATGTTAGAAAATAGTTTTCAGATTGGAAAATGAGTTTGAATGATTTCATTAATTTCAGAGTGAGTGATTTAATGAAATGAGAAGCTTTACAATTTCATAAAATGTATAAGATTACATTTATGGTAATTCCCCTTTTGTAGTCTGTTTTTGTAGGTTAAAGGGTTTATTACATATGCACTGATTTACATAAGATTATTGTTCCTTTTCATGAGGCTTAGGAAGAACCATAGGGATAAATTGTATGATTGTTTATCTTTGCACCACATTACTCTTGTTTCTGACTAGAAAATGGTCTTTGGACTGTAAGTGATAACCATGTAGCTTTATAACTACAACAGGTAAGGAGTTTGGCAAAAGCAAAGAATTTATAAGCATGGATTTTATTTTAGACTTCTATCCATCTGAAACTTAAACAGGAACTGGTAAATGTGCCTTAAAATTTAGCTCATTACTTAGCCAATAATGGAAATAATATTTTTAAATGTTCTGAATTGGTATATTTAAACATATTAATATAAATTCCCCCATTAAACATTAAATTTCAGACTCAAAATACAAATGAAACTACATATTACTGTGATACTTTTTTCAAGATTTGTGATGGGTGGAGCATGTTTACGGGGAGGCAACTAAACGGTATTGCAAAACAATATCTTCAGACAGTGTCAAACTTCTGCATTAAAAGTCTTAAAGCATCCAATTTTAGATCTTTGGAAGAAAATGTAACAGAAACTGTCTTTTCTCCCGGCAATGACTAGTAAGTGATCTTGTACAATGTACTAATTTTCAAGAACCTAATAGCTTGTTTTTATTAGAGGAAATCTTTGGATTCTTTTATAAAGAAAGACCTAGGGATAGGAAATTTTAGCTATGTTAAAGGGTGAAAAATGAGATTACTTGTAAAAGTAGGATTAAAAAACTACTTTTCAGATTTTGCAAAACACCTACACAAATTCTCCAGTGGGGCAGTACGTGTTTGATTTTCTACTCTCAATGGCCATTAGCCACTCGGCCCTTTAGTTGAAAAAAAGAAAGTATCCAACTTTTATTTGAAAATAGTTCAAACCCCTAAATGAATGAAGTGCTTTTAATCACGTTTTATTCTACGGTTGAGTTTTGATCTAAATGTTAAACCTGTGTAAATACTCTTAAAAAAAGTAAACCCAACTCATAATAATCCTACTAAAGAGCTAAGGATAATGATTCTGTTGCTGATACACATAGTTTATCTGGCAGAAAATGTGGGTTGTGTTGTAATTTCATTGTGGGCTGCTGTAAATTACTATCGAATCTGTAAAATAAGCTGTGGAACTGAATAGCAACTTTTTTTTTCCTGTTCCCTTTTTTTAAATTGTGCTTTAGGTGAACGTTTGCAACTCAAGTTAATTTCTCATTGAAAAATTTATACACATACTGTTTTGTGACATTGGTTGCAATCCCCACGATGTGACAGCATGCTCCCCGATTCCCTGGTCCATCCGTCCAGTTCCTCTCCCGTCCTGCTCTTGGACAGGAGCTGCTCATTTGGTCTCATATATTTGATTGAACCAAGAAGCATGTTCCTCAAGTGTTCTTTTTTGTTTTATAGGCCTGTCTAATCCTTGTCTGAAAAGTGGGTTTCAGGAATGGTTTCAATTCTGGGTTAGCAGAGCATCCAGGGGCCGTAGTTTCAGAGGTACCCCTGTTTACTTTTCAATCTTTGTCTCTAGTACTCCGCAGTTTCTCTGTATTGAGTCTAGGTGTGGTGTTTCTTTTTTCTCAGCTCAGGTTGCCTCTTTTATTATTTTCTGGAACTCCTGTGGTATGGCTATGTATGACTTGATTTCTGTCCTCTGTCTCAACAGCTTTACTGTTTTTCCTTCTGTTTCCATTTCTGTATGGAATATCTTTAGCTCCAACTACTCCCCTGAACTCATCTCCACTCATAGCCAATAGGAATCTAATCTCAAAATATGCAAAACCAAGCTCAACCCTTCTCCACCAATGACCTTAAAAAAAAAAAAAAAAAAAAAAAAAACTTCTAATGTTCCATAATTTTTTTCTTGCTGTAATTTGCTTTTTTAAATGTTCCATAATTTTTGATAAATGAATGAAATCAGCATTCTTAGCGCTCTTGCTCTCTTTCTGACTTAGATGTGATACTTTAGCAATTTCTGTTATTTTTGCTTCACTCATACTATCCCGGTTGCTGTTCTTAGAATGCATCAAAGAATACTTATTATTGTTCCCTCTGCCGAGAGTGCTTTACCTATGATTTGTACAGAGCTTGTTCCCTCATGTAATTCAGGACTGAACTCAGATGTCATCTTAGGTTGTCCAGATTAGCACTCTCCATTTTTTATATCCCTTAAATTGTTTTTTCTCCTAGCACTTACCACTAATTGACCAAATCAGTCAATTACTAATTGTCATTGGGAGCCCTGGTGGCACAGTGGTTAAGAGCTCAGCTGTTAATCAAAAAGTCAGCAGTTTGAATCCACCAGCCAGTCCTTGGAAACCCTACAGGGCACTTCTACTCTGTCCTATACAGTCGCTACGAGTTGGAATCAACTCCCCGGCAATGAGCTTTTTGGGTAATTGTCATTGACAGCCTCACCACTAGAATGCAAGTTCCATTAAGGCAGGGACTTAATTTTGTTCACTGCTATATCCCCAGCACTTGAAACAGTGCCTCAGTATCAATTGTATTTTCTTGATTGTGGTGTCTTTCTCAGAAATGTTATGCCCCATAAATGACCAGCATTACCAAACTCTGACTGGCCATTGCCACCTGATAGTAGTATTGGAAACTTTCGTATGCTTTATCAGTATATCGTTATTGCTAGAGTTTGTATAAGAAGCCCCAGTGGTGCAGTAGTTAAAGTGATTGACTGCTAACTGAAGGATTGGTGGTTCAAACCACCTGCAGCTCCTCGGGAGAAAGACGTGGCAGTCTGCTTCCTCAGAGATTTACAGTCTTGAAACCCTACGGGGTCGCTAGGAGTTGGAATCAACTCCACGGCAGTGGATTTGGTTTGTTTTTTCCGTGGAGTTCGTTTACTGTCTTCCAGGTTTTAAATCTAACTTGTTGATAATCACCTGAGGCATTTGTGAAATATTAGAGATACCAAAGTCTCATTCCTAGTAATTAAAATCTGCAGAGAAAGGCCCCAGTAGTGTGATTCTAGGGGTTTTAATATATATTAACTTGAATAATTAATGCAGAAGTTAATTCCACTGTTATATGTAATATACTTACATATAAATGAAAAGAAATTTGTTCCTGTAATTTATGGCTACTTAGACAATATCATTTTAATGATACTTTACAAAGGGGTATGCAGAGAAATGGCATATAATAGTAAAATATAAAATATTTTGATTTGTCTCTTCTTTCCCTTTCTCTTTTGAAAGGACATGTATTTTATGTGGCATTTCTAATGTTTTATAAGTGAACTAGCAAAAACTCCCTTTTCTAGATGGTGCTTGGTATTTTTTTCCCCTTAAGTTTTTAAGTCATATTTAAGTTAAATCCACCCTCTCTAGGTGTACAGTTTGAAGAGTTCTAGCATATTATACAGTTACATAACCACCAGCATGATGTTGTTAGGTGCCGCCAAGTTGGTTCCGACATACATAACCACCTTATGTACAGCAGAACAAAACACTGCCTGATCCTGCACCATCCTTGCAATCATTGCTATACTTGAGTCCATCGTTGCAGCCACTGTGTCTGTTCC